CCACAGGCTTGAAAACCTAAACCACAGCTGAACTGCTCTGGACTCCACTCTCAACCTGTCCCCACAGAGCTCCATTCCCACGCCCTGGCATGCAGGGAGTGACAGATCCCATTCCCTTGACTCTGAGCAGCATTCCTGGCTTGCTTGGCTTATCTGGCAGAAAGTGGCTGAGGATGACAAACACAAAAGGCCCCGAATTCTCCTTCTGCTCAGTGTTGTCTGACTGCTCCAGCCCTGAACGCACTCCAGAGCTGAACCACTCCAGGCCCCAGCTGAAGAAAAGAGCACACGTCCTCTTCCAGATGGACAGGCCCATAAGCTGCCTCCCCAGGAGCTGGAAGCAGAACCATGGGAATGCAGCCAAGGCTTTAAAGGGCAGCTTGCAAAGCTGTTCCCTGATTTCTGCATGTTTTAGGTAAAGAGTGCAGACTCAAGATCCTTTGGGGGTGGTTTCAGAACAGGCAGCCTCGTCCCCCAGCCAATTCTGGAACCCAGGCACAATTCCCAATGGTCTAGGCAGGTCTGTAGGGGGCCTGAGGACACACACTCAGGAGCTGCCAGGACACTCCACCTGCAGCCTCAGGTTTGCAGAGTTAGAAGAAATAAAGTGTTTTTGCAGCCAGGTACCAGAACATCTTTGATTTCAGCACAGAACCTCTGCAGTGCTGGCTGCTCTGTGGCTCAGGAGAGCATAGCAATAAGGTCACCTACAGACCAAAATGCCACTTTTTTCCTGTTTGGGACATTTGTGCCTGACAGTTTGTACCCCAAGCACACCCAGAGGAGCACCCTGAGCTGTACCTTGATGGCTTTGAGGGAGCCACTGAAGAGCATGTTGTGTGATGAGACCAAAGTGCAAACAGGATTGTCGTGTGCTCGGATCGTGTTTACCTTCTGCAGGTTTTGAATATCCCAGACCTGCAGAGAGGAATCAGACAATCATGGAGTGGTTTAGGTGAGAAAAGCCCTCTAAGATCATCAAGTCCAACTGTTCCCCCAGCACTGCTAAGGCCACTGAGGAAGAGCACCCATGAGGGCCAGGGCAAACCCCCTGTGCTGAGGTGTCTGCCTCTGGAGGCAGGGAGTGACACACAGGCAGGATAGGGCACTTTGAGCCACTGTCCCAGCTGATGAGGATCAACCACCCTGCCCCAGCTCAGAGCAGCAGCCTGCTGGTCCCCACACAGGAGCAGAGAGTGGGAAATCCAGTCTGCAGGAAACCCCCAAATCCAACCCACGAGTGACTTGGCTGAAGGCAGTGGATGCAGCACACGTGGCTTATCAGTCCTGTACCACTGGCAGTGAAGAACCTTCTAGAACAAGGACACAGGTCCCTGCTCCAGAGCAGCCTGTGGATCTCCTGTCCCGGCTGTGGAGCAGAGGCAGGTCCAGGGTACTCACAATGATGGTGCAGTCAGCAGAGCCACTGTACAGCTTGTTCCTGGAATGTCACCAGAAGACAACGGCGGTCAGTGAGGGTCCCAGCTTGTCCCCAGGCACTGTGCTGGGACAGGAGCTGCAGTACACAGCCTCACTGGGCCAAGGCTACATGTACCCACCCTAGGAGAAGGGCCCAGGGCTCGTGGGGGTCAGGCCGTGTTGGCCCTAAGAGCAGGAGGCCAGGGGAGGAAGCCAGGACACAGAGGACGGCAGAGAGATATGTGCTTTGTCCATTTTTAAACAGCAAAGAGGCATGATGTGCCTCTCATGCCAAATTTTGGCACATGCAGGACAGAGGATGGGAATTATCAGGGCATGCTCAGGAGTTCCCATGCTCTCCCTGCTCACCCCAGGGGAAGATGTCCCTCTCCACTCACCCCTGGATGCAGAGAGCCAGTACAATTCCATCATGACCCTCCAAGGTCTTTTGGCACTTGTATGTGGTACAGGTATCCCACACCTAAGAGGAAACACAAGGCAGCAGGGTCACACTGGCAGGCAGCAGCTGGGGACCAGGGCAGGATGTGAGCACAGCCACAAACACCGAAACAAGGAAACAGGCTGTCACCTGGGCACCTGCCTGCCGGGCCTGGGCACAGATAAGCTTGTCTAGCACAGGAGATTTACTGCCAAGGTCAGGCTGAACTTAACAAGGCACAGAACCGCAGCACACAGCAGCCCTGTCCAACTCTGCCTTCCCCAGCCCAGGCCAACACCACACACCAAGGCAATGAAGCAGCTCTCAGGCCCCTGCTTCAGCAATTCCACCCCATCCCAGGGCTCCCATGGCACAGCACAGCCTCCTCTGCCCCTGCAAAGCTTCTCCCCTCTGAGCACACACTGCTCTCTCGAGAGGGAACATGGAACGTGGTGCCCAAAGCAGCTGGGACAGGGGAGAGAGTCATTTCCTTTCCCTAAAGTACAGCAATATCCATTTTCTTCCATGAGGCTCTAAACCAAAGGAAACTAAATCGAAGCTCTGCTCCTGGCAGCCCCTGGGGGTCCCCAGTACAGCCAGCAGCCACCACAATGACACTGGGAAGTCCTGTTTAGGCTGCACCAGAGCTGTGCTGTCAGTTTGAGTTACTGAAAACAGGACAAAGGAAAACAAACATGCCGTAAAATCTGAAAAGGCACATTGGATCAGGGACAAATGCTTTGTTCTAAGATGACTTTTCATAACAAGGGAAAATAAAATCAGAAGCTGAAATAAGCTTGAATACACTAAACACCATATAAAGCCAAACCAGCAGCATCATGAATGAGATTCTAATCAAGGCTTTGCAAAATCCCTGTCTCTCCATTTCACTGTCACATAATGTTTCCGCAAAGAGAATTGTGCCCAACTATAATCACACAATCATTTAAGATTCTTTGGGAGAAAGTTTAGGCAGTGACATCTCCCAATCCCACAAACTGAACTCAGCTTCCAGCCATGTGAGAGTGCAGAAGGTACATGGGGAAGAGGCAAGCTCTTACCTTAATAGTTTTGTCTGAGGAGCCACTGAAGAGCAAGTCTCCTATTGAGTACACACACAAACACCAGACAGGGCCCTGGTGGCCCACAAATGTCCCCTTGCACTTGAAGATCTGCTGAGGATCATAGGCTGCAGAAAGGAGAGGGCATGTGAGAGGTGAGAGGGAGAGCAGTGCTGTTACTGCACACCTGTGCCATCACCCGAAGGTGCTCACTGGGTCATCACCCCACACCCAGCCCGAGGCGATGAAGACCACAGGGATACTCACATCCAAGGATGCCCATGTTGAGCCGAGCGTTGATGTGGGAGAGCTCATCCTGGAAAACAGAACAAGCTGTGTGAGCTGTGGAACCAGCCTGTCCCACAACTGCTACAGCCACTCCAGTCTTCCTGACCCCCTCAAGGCCCTCCCTCAGCAGATGGCTCATCTCTGACCAAAGATCTCTCCTCTAGGACTCTGCTTACATCCCTCCGTCACCTCCCTCCAGAGACCACAGGGCTCTGACAGCACCTCAGACCTGTGCTAAACCTTTCAGCATTCAGGCAGGCACAGAAATACCTTTCAGAATATATTGTCCTTGCTCTGCCACTCACCAGACTGGTAAAAACAATCAAATTGGTTATGGGGCTGCCTGCTCAGCTGGGCTCCTGAAGCCCACCTTGAGGGCTTTTCCATGCTCCAGTGCCTACTGCATCCACAGGAACCCTCTTCGTCAGGACGATTAGGTCATCCCGGGTGAGCTCCTCCTAATCAGCACATCCCATGGGATGCAGTGTCTGAACAAGGGGGGAATGTCCAACATGAGTGCTTCCAAAACCATGAGGGAACTCTTGCTCCCAGTTTGTTACCAGGGATCTGTTTATCCCCCTGCTTTCTGCAGGCACGGAGAAGGCTACAGTGTTCCTGTAAGTGTAAAAGGCCCAGGCTTTGGAGTAGAGGCCTCTCTCCTTGCTGCAGAGGTCCTGTCCTTGAACTCAAGCCCTTCACCCAGAGACCAGCTGCAGGAAAGGCAAACCCGGCATGAGCAGAGCCAGCAAACAAGCAGGGGGGACCCCAAAGCCTCCCCCTGCTGCAGAGAAGCCTAGACAGGAGCAGAGCAAGCTAACTGCATGCAAACCCTGCTGCACCCAGGACCCAGCCCCTGCTCACGTTCAGCATGGAGGCATCCCTGCGGAACTCCATCAGATCCTCACTCAGCTTGCTCTGGTTCTCATCCAGCACATCTGTGAGAGATGGACAGGCCCACAGTCACTGTAGAGCCACTCATGGCATCCCAGAAACAGGCAGTGGAGATGGACAGGCCCACAGTCACTGCAGAGCCACTCACGGCATCCCAGGAATAGGCAGAGGACACACACTGCCAGCTCATCTCTGAGCAAGGAGGGAGGAGGACACACTGCTGCTATCACCAGGGAAAGCAGAAGGGTGCCTGCTCCCGAAATGCACGTTGTACTCGGATGCTGAAGAACCAGCAGATTTGGGAGGCAAGACAGGGCTGGGAACAGCAAAGGTGTCCAAGAGCCCTGCTGGCCCCAGGGTGGCTGCACCGCTGGCTGTGTGAGTCACTGGTTTTTATGGGGGCCTGTGCCCATGGACTGCACAGGAAAAGCCACAGAAAGCAGCAGCTGCCTGCAGACATTTCTAGGACTTGCCACGTGACTGGTGACTGCAGGATTAGGTCCCACAAGGTTCTGGCAGCAGAGAAGTCAATGGAAACCCTATATGTCCCTCCACAAGGAATATCTGATCCTCCTGAAACCTGCTCAGCACCAGTTTTAAACATGGAATGAATCCTGTGATGCACCACCCAAAGAGCTGTCCTGTCCCTGCAGCTCTGACCACAGAGCCTGTCTAGGACAGACTCACCAAACTTCAGCTCCAGGTTCTTCTCCAGCTGGTCGATTTTCTCGGAGAGCTTCCCCAGCATGGAGCGCAGGAAGGCAATTTCCTGGTCCTTCTGGGCCATGGCCACCTGCATCTCATGGAAGCGATCGTCTGTCTGCTGCAGAAACTCCTTCAGACCCTCGAACTTGCACGTCTCCAGGTGGGTCTCATAAGTGTCCTGGTTTCCTATGAATGTGCACCTGAAGGGAAGGCAGAGTCTGGTTGGAGCAGGGCTCACATGGACACTCCTGGCTCAGCTCACTCCTCAGTGGAGCTCTGAGGCCTGTGTGGGTTCCCAGCTGTCCTGCTCCTCCTGCAAGGAGCAGTGATACTGTGGTTCATCATCCTTCAAAGGATGGACTTGAGGTCTTTTCCAGTCTTAATGGTTCTATGATCCTGCTGGGTACAGGCAACTGCAAGGCAACACAGAAGCCAAGCAGCTGTTGTTCCTCCTGCCAGAGCACTAGCCCCAAACTGGACTGTCTGTCTAGCTGGTTGCAAAAAAAGATCTTGGGCAAAGAGACAGGGTGTGGTGCCAGTGTGTGTGCTCACTAGGAGCCATCAAAACCAGTGGAAAGAACTGCAGATGATCTCAGCAGATGCTGACTTGGGCCTGCAGCGTGGCAAGGAGTCAGGGCTGCTCTGTCAGGACCTGCCTTGCTTTGCCTCTGCCAAGACATGTCTTAGGATCACAAAATTCACAAGATTGTTGAGGTTGGAAAAGCCCTCTCAGACCACCAAGTCCAACCATTCCCCCAGCAATGCCAAGGCCATCACTAACCATGTCCCCAAGTGCCACATCCACAAGACTTTTAAGTCCCTCCAGGAACGGTGACTCCACCCCTGCCCTGGGCAGCTGTGCCAGGGCGGGACAACCCTTTCTGTGTACTCTCTCCTTGCCAAGCAGGGAACAGCCAGTCCAGGCTGCCCTGCTGCTCAAGTGACAGTGAAACCCCCGAGGTGGATCAGCACTTCCCTTACCCTGGAAAAGGACTGGTTGGCAAGACACTGCCATGGTGCTCAGATTACTCTTGTTCTCATCCTCCTCCCTGTGTGGCCTTGGACACATTCACTGCTCTGACTGTTCTTCTGCCTACACACCTCACCCTCCTCCTCACTGGGATTACACCTGGGCACCATGACCTACCTGTTCCCAACAAGCCCTGTAACCCTAAGCTCAGCCCTGGGGAGTGCTGCTCAGCGCTCCTGGGGCCATCCCAAGGCTGCAGTAGACGAAAAGCAGCTCAGGAATGAGCTCAGTGCACCTTTCCCTCTCCAAAGCATCAGGTCCTTACCCGTACTTGGAGTGGGGACACTTGATGTGCTCACACTCCTTGAGGTGTGCCTCCAGGTTCATTTTGAGGAGGGGAGGGCAGCTGGGGTTGTTGGGGCAGCGCACAGGCCTGTAGTCACAGCTGCTTTCGTGGTCTCTGCCCGAGGAGAGAGGCAAAGGGAGGGAAAATCAGCAATAAGCAAAAATTAATGGAAGCGACACAGATCACCAGGAAAGGAGCAAGCCAGCCCTGTGAGGCTGCCAGGGGACCCAAAGCCTCCTGCTCTAAGCCTGCAGTTCCAGCTTTAAATTCGCACTTGGCCAGAAAATTGAGAGTAATGATAAGCCACATTTACACAGGGAACACCTGATGGGCTGAGCATTCAGGCAGCCACCAACAAGGCAACAGACAGGGGAGACAGGGATTTAGGATGGGGAGGGAGATAGATTTCAGATTTCTAGGATATAACTCAGATGATTCCTCCTACAAAAGGAATCCCAAGGTCTCAGCTTGACCACAACCAGTTTCAACCCAGATGTGAGGTGGCTGCTCTCAGGGTGTACCCTGAGGGTACACCTCACTGTCAGGGTGCTGACAGTGAGGTAAGATGGGAGCAGAGAGCATCCTTCTCCTGAGACAAGCCCATCTGCCACCATCTGAATACTGAACTGTCCCCTCAAGCCCCTCTGCCCACTCCCACACCCTGGCACACCCCAGCAGAGCCGTGCTGGCAGGAGTTGCAGCCCCAGAGCCACAGGGCAGCTCAGGCATGGTGGCACAGCCCTTCCCTGGTGAGGCTGCAGGCTGAAACAAGCCACTTACTTCCTGGCACTCAGCTTAATTGTGAAGGGGCACCCTCGGGGGTCCACCTCGAAGGCAGCAGGCTTGCTGCTGGCTGCAGGCCTGCAGCCATACTTGCAGTGAATGAACAGCTCCCCAATCTGCTCAGCCACCGCGATGTTGTTCACCACCACCGTCAGTTTGGCATTATCCACGGGGCACTTCTCTGCCAGGGAGGGAAGGAAAGCACAGTCAGCAAGGACTGAGTCAGTGCAGGAGCATTTCCAAGAGTCTCTGCATGGAGATGTTATTCTTTTGCCTTCCCTGGCCAAGGCAGCCAACTCGCAGGTGGGAGCCATGGAATGAGCCATGGATACTCACACAAGACTTGTGAGCCACTAGCTCTGGTTTGGCTTGGGTCTTGGGAAAAGTTAGTTTATGTTCACCTGTGATCATTTCAGTTGGATGACGAAGAACGTAGCCCAGACTAACTCAGACTACCCTGTGCTTGCTCAAGTGTGAGTGCTCACAGGTAGTGACCAGCAGATGACCCATCCATAACCTGCTCCCTCAGCCAGGCCTGGGCTCAGCTCCACTGCCAGCAGCACTGTGGGCCAGTGATCACCGAACCACACAGTCACTGAGGCTGGAAAAGATCTCCAAAACCACTGAGTCCAACCTGTGACCCATCACCACCTTGTCAACTAGCCCAGAGCACTGAGTGCCATGTCCAGCTGTTCCCTGAACACCTCCAGGGATGGTGACTCCACCATCTCACTGGGCAGTTCCAACGCCTGACAGCCCCTTCCATGAGGAAATTCCTCCTGATGTCCAACCTGGAACTCTCCTGGCACAGCCTGAGGCTGTCCTCTTGTCCTATCACTTACTGCCTGGCAGAAGAGGCTGACCCCACCTGGCTAAAACCTCCTTGATGCTTCAACAGGGCAAAGACAAGAGCTTAGAGATCAGGAACAAACTGAGCAACTCAGGATTGCAACTGCAAAGCCTTTTGCTACAAATCTATGGGTTGGGATAGATACAGCAGAATGTGGTGAGATTAGCATGCAGAGCAGAGAGACCCCTCACATGTGGAAGACAAAAATCCTAAGGCAGAAAGAGATCCCCAGGGAGCCTCCTCAGGCCTCGCTGTTCCAGTAATGCCATAGGCTTGGCTTTGTGCTGAAGAAGAGCTTTCCAAGAGGGGCACAGCCTCGTGCCAAATAATGCCTATTCTGCAGCACAGACTCCAACCCAAGCAAGAGCTGGAGAGCCCAGTATATCAGCCAGGGGCCTGGGCTCCCCCAGGGCTCTGGGAGAACTGTGCAGGGGCTGGCACTGAGGGGCTGGGGGAGGAGGGCTTGCTGGTTCCCTGCCACACACAGCCCCCCCATCCCTCAGCCAGGCAACCACAGAAAGCTTTGTCTGAAATCAATGGGTCAGCTCTGGGCAAGACCTGTATTATCCTGGGATTATCCACGGCATATTCCAGGATTCGAGAACATCCTGTGCCCAGGAGCTGGGCTCAGCCCTCTCTCTAGTGCCCGAGCTCCAGTGTGTACCATCAGAGCTGCAGAGCCCCCGTCAGCCTCTCACTGCTGCAGGGGCAGATCTGACTCACAGCTAGCTTTGAGCCCTTTGGACATTTTCCTACAGGTTTCTTTTTAAGTGAAAGCAAACAAAGCAGAAAATAACTGTGTTTTGGCTGCATCACACAAGAGCAGCTCTGTACTCACCAGATGTTAAGGCACATCTCCTACAGAACGTGTGCTGTGGGGACAGAGAACAGCAGTGTCAGCATAAAGCGAGAGCAGGCAAATTATTGCCTGTGGCCAACGATGGGAAAGGTGGGAGATACCAAAGCCTGTGGCTCAGGGGCCTCAGCAGCTGCTCTGCCTGCTTTAGCTCAGCACCACAGGGCAAACCCCAGCTGCTTGCTCAAGCAGCTCAGGCTGCAGCACAGGTCCTGTTCCCGAGTATTAATGTGAAGCTTTGATGTTCTGCCCCATTCAGGATGAGGACACGATCGTGGTGCAAACCCAAGCCACAGACATGTTTCTGTCACACACTGATATTCATAGAATCATAGAATCACAGGATGGTTTGGGTTGGAAGGACCTTAAAGCTCATCTAGTTCCATTCCACTGCCATGGGCAGGGATACCTTCCACTAGCCCAGGTTGCTCCAAGCCCTGTCCAACCTGGCCTGGGACACATCCAAGTCCTTCCCACCCTCCTACCCTTCACCTTCAAGTCCTTCTTACCCTCCTTATCTGCATGGGTTTTCCCTGCTTCACTCTCCACTTTAGCCCACATCATCACTCTCATTTCCCTGAGAGTCCTCAAGAGAAGAAGCAAGGGGCAGCCTGGACTCTCCCTGCACTTGCCCAGTCAGTCCACCACATACTCCCTCTAGAACTCTTCTAAGGCAGGTGAAGCTGCCCTGTCCTGCTGCCAAGCAGATGGATTAAATGCTTTGTAACTTTTAGCACTTTAAATTGCTTCATCTCTGTTCTCACAATTTAACTTGATAAAGTAGCAACACAATCTAACACACTCACTATAAATGCTGCAGCATTTCCCTGGTCCTGAGCTAGTCCCTGGAGCCTTCTCAGCCACATTCCCTTGCCACAGGTCTAGGTCTTAGCAGAGGCTGTGAATCCCTCTCTGGTGCTGTTATCTGCTGCCCTGCTCCTGTGGCCTCTCTCCAGAGCTGCCAGAGCAGCACTGCAGATCAAGTCATGCTGCTTCCTGTGCTGGAGTTCTTCCATATTAACCAGTAAATCTCAGTGCCTCCATGAAGAGCTGCAAACTGCACCAGCCTCCAGCACTTTTGGGGATACACTCTCCTGCAATAAACAACCCTGCTCTGTGCTGTTGTCTCTCCAGCTCCATCCTGGCACTCAGCAGCACATCAGCAGCACGAGAGAGCCAATCTCAGCCATCTCTCCTCACCAGCAGCACAGAGACAGGGATAATATACAGCTTCTATTAAATCTCAGTAAAATGGAATCCAGAAGAATATTCATAATACTCTCTGCCTTTCATTAGAGGATCTCAAATCCCTTTGCTGGCATTAACTAAATGAAGCTTCAAGCCATTCTGGCCTTATGAGTAACACTTCCTTCACAAGTGAGGAGCAGCTGTTCCTGGGGTGCCCAGGATCTCTCTGCAGACCCTTTCAGGGCAGGGAATGAGGAGGTTTAAACCTCATGGAAACCACAGCAAGCAGACTGAATATGGCCAGAACACCCGCAGGATGACAGTTTAGCTCTTCTGGGAAAAGTCACCCAGTTTTAAGCAAGTCCCAGGCTTGTCTGGCTAACCACAGAGTGCAGGCTGGTTCAGAGCTGCCTTGTGGGGACATCTCACACATGTCCATCAGCATCTCTTGCCTGGTCAGGGGTTGCTTCATCTCACTGGGGACAGTCAGGGCTTGGCTCTAGCTCACCCGGGACACCTGTGGAGCATGTGGAGTGATGTGGAAGAGCAGTGCCTTACCCCACAGGTAGTGATGACTGGATCCTTAAACACACTGCAGCACAGCTGGCAGCACAGCTTCACAGATGGCTGTTCAGCAAACACCAGAGGCTCCTGTAGAGGAGACACAGGGACAGAGACAGCACAAGGATGAGTCCAGAGAGCCTCCAGCTCTGCAGAAGGAAAAAAACAACTCCTCAGTGGGGAGCCTTGGGCAGTGTGCATGCTGAGGATTTCATTAGCTTGATCTAATACTATGTGTGGATCTGCTGAGCTCCAATAAGAGACCGGGAAAGAAAGAACTTGGGAATGGCTGGAGACCTATAGCTCCTCACAAACTGGGCCCACCAGCATCTGGCAGGATCAAGACTTGACAGCAAACTGCACAGACCAACTTTGTCAGTGATTCATGTCCCTAGAATTGCTGAGCTGCACTGGTTGGGACTTGGTGCTTGGTTGGACTGAATAGAGCGTTGTCAAAAATGTAGTAAGTGGAGTTTAAAAGCCATTTTAAAGCAGCCCAGCCTTTTGTGTTTCTGAAGGAAGGCTCTTTCATTCCCTCATGAAGCAGAAACAGCATTGGTTTTGCTGCAGAGGGCGCATCTCTTAGATTTGTTTACCAACTAAGGACTGCCAGCACAGGGCTCCAAGCACGTCCTCCCAGGGCAGCACAGCTCTCCAGGGCTCTGACCATGTCCTCCTGGAGCATCACAGCTCTCTGGGGCTCCAAACACATCCTCCTGGAGCACCAGGGCTCTCCAGGGCTCAGTGCATGTCCTCCCGGAGCAGCACAGCTCTCCACACCATGCCAGAGCAGGGCTTCACGTTTCAGAGCATTTCAAATCAATCTCTGCAGTTCAGTCTGCCTTTTCATCCTGTGCTGCTCTCAGAAATGCAAACACACACCCCTGGCTTCCTAAACATGAAACACACTTTTATCCCAGCTTGGTGGCAAAACGCCACCTGACCTTTTATTCACCCAGTCTGGGGTTAGTTACTGGGTCACGAGCTAAGCTCAGCTTAAAAGTGTCCTCCCCTGACATGCAGACAATTCTTTGCACCCTCCTGGGGCTTACAATCGAGTCAGTGGGGTGCCAGGCAGCCCTAAATGCAGGATGGGGCTGTGAATCCGTGGGGAATGGCGTTAGTCTTGCTGCCTGGGGCCAGACCACCAGCCTGAGCCTTGTTCGAACTCTTGCAGCACAGCCAGGGAACCACGCACAGGACTTTGCAAGACTTACAGTTTTTCTGGGAAGCAGAAAAGCCTCACCATTGTCCTCACATTATAGCCAGGGAAGTAGCAGACCAGGAAGCAAAGTAACTTAGAGAAGTCAGGGGTGGGAACAAAACGAAAAGCAGGACTGTTGGTTGCCAGGCAAAATGTGCCTGTGATAGCTCTGTGTGCTCACAGAAATCCACTAAGTTAGTCTTTTGACACTGAACTTCCTAACACTGCTCCTTCAGACAATCCCCAATACCTACTGGCTCCTCCTCTTCCTCATGGAGTGAGAACGTCGAGCGCAAGGACATGTTGGACTCGGAGTGTAGCGAACGGACAGAGATAGCAGAGTCGGAACGGCGTGGGGTGCTGATGGGAGGCTTCAGGGAGACACAGACAGCACTGGTTAGTGCAAACAATCCCCAAACTCCAGGCAAACACTACAGTCCAGCCCCCACCCCTCCACCAAGCCCAGCTGTTTCAAGCTGCTCTGAGTGGTCCCTGAAGTGGTGCTGTGTGCCCTTCCCCGCACTGTGCTCAGAGACAGAAATCACTCAGATTTAACTTCCAAGCAGCACATCCCACTGCTGCATGCCGTTCCCTGCACCCTGCTCAGACAGGAATCACTCAGATTTAACTTCCTGACACCTCCATTCCAGGCACATCCCTTTCTCCAAGGTGCATTGGCTTCCACTTACCGTGAGCACCCGCAATGGGATGGGAGAATGAATCCTTCATGGGAAGCTCCGTAAATCTCCCCCCGAGGCTGCCCCAGCCCCTGCAGTGCCTCTAATCTCCGCAGCAGCACTTGTTGTTGCACTCCCTATCCAACTGGTGCCAAATTTCTGTGCGTAAGTGTGCAGACTTCCTTCTATTCAATTCCCTCTCAGCCGGCCCTGCCGCTTCCTGCTCGGGAGGGACAGTGGCCACCAACCACGGCAAAGCCCTCTGCCTTGGGACTGGCATGGAGGGAATGCTGCTGCTGGAATACTAAGCAGCAGTGCATCTCTGAGGGGGAATATCAACAAGCAGCACATAGCCAAGATGCAATGTGATGTCAAAGTGAAATTGGACACTCTTCAGACCATGGGGTGACTGGATTTGGTGGTCCCAAATCCATCCGGGTTACTCAAGAGATGCTGCTGGTGGAGTGGGAAGAGTGCAGAGAGAAGGAATAAAGGTCTTCAAGGAGCAGTATGGATGGTCTGAGAAAGAAATGAAGTCATAAGCTTCAGGCACCTGGCACCAAGAGATGACCAATGTGCACCTCCATGTGGTTTGAGCGTAGCTAAGTTAGTTGCCAGCTCTGAGATGTGCTGGCTGGAAGGAGCTCTGAAGGTCACTGGCTGCCCACTCAAAGAGGGACTCTACCTGGCACTGCTCAGCTGCCACAAGGAAAGCTGCACAGACCAGACTCTGCCACCCTGAGCTCCTGTCCTGCACCTTGTGAGCAAAACATTCTTCCTCATGTTCAATCTGAACCTCCCAAGCTGCATTTCGTGTGCCTGCCCAGGGTGAAAGTGTGTGACATCAGACCCAAGCACAGACAAAGGCAGTGTAGGAGGGCAGTGGGACAGTCAGGAAACTCAGCAGTGAGAGCTCTAAGAGGAGGTTCAGAGGCTGCTCACTCCCCAGACACAAACCACACTGCAGCCCCAGTGCAGCCTGGCTGGGCTGCAAAGAGAAACAGATCAGGATCCTGCTGGTTCCTCACACTTGCTCTGCTTCTTCATTTTTATGATCCTGGGCTCCTAGGAGCTCAAAACTGCTGCATCTGCTTAAAGCTTTCCATTACAGACAGCATATTTATTGGCTAAAGAGGCAAATGTTGAGGAGAAACAGTTATAATGAGGTAAATCACTTTTATGTGTATCCATTCATTTTAGTATTTTCCTACACTAGTAACAGAAGTTATTAAAATATCAAGAATGACTGTGCACAGTTCCCATTCTGGAGGTGACATGGAGATGAAGGTAGCAAAGGCAGGCACTGCAGGGAGGCAGGTTCATCCAGGGCAGCATCCTGCATGGATCACCAATGGAGAGAGGACACTGCAGCCCAAAAGCATTTTCAGGAGGCAGAAGAGTGAGGCACAGCCTTACAAGGCATTTACAGACCTTCTGGGTATCTGCAGCCTTGGTTTTGCCAAGAAAACAAGGATAAGACTCAAGAGACCTCCAGAATAATAGGGACAAGGACCAGAGGACCCCCACCCTATGGGCATCTGCCAGAGGGATTCCATGTGCTCCAAAGTCCTGGAGAGCCAGGCCCTGCTGCAGGAGCTGCAGTTCAAGGACTGCAGAGTTCAGGGGTGAGGTGGCACTGCTTCAGCCAGACTTGGATGTGGGAGCACCTGCCAGAAGGGTCCCACCTGCTCCCAGCTGTGCCAGAGCTGTTCCTGCACTAAACACCAAGTGCACCTTCCAACAGCCCAAGTATGGAGCACCCACATATCTGCTGATGGGAGATGGATAGTTTTAAGCTGGTCACTCAGTCTAGTCTCTGGGTCATAGAATCGTAAGAATTGAAGGGTTGGAATGGTCCTTGCAGATCATCATAGTCCCAACCCTCCCTGCCACAGGCAAGGACACCTCCTCACTAGATCAGGTTGCTCAAGACCTCATCCAGCCTGGCCTTGAACCCCTCCATGGTCAGGGCAGCCACCACGTCTCTGGGCAACCTGTTCCAATATCTCACCACCCCTATAGTAAAACTTTTTTCTGATATCCAACCTAGACTTCCCCTCCTTC